ACAGGAAGCAATTATAAAGACTCCTTGTCAACACACTGCTTTTCTACTCAAAAGATGTCTCCTTATCTCAATCACAAATGACACCCATAGGTCATTAAAAGCAAATGAGTTGTGCAAATCAAACTTGCTCGCCTTTAGACCTGAGCTGGAAAGAAAATTGCTGGATCCAACAGCCTCCAGTCTGCTGTGAATCACTCATCTTCAGCGGGAGCTTGTTTACACTTAGTATTTCTTTCAGCTTGAGTAAGGAAATCAGACTGGCCATTTCACTCAATTTTACTCTCCTTCCCTCCACCCACTTGCATTGCTGCAAGCCAGTGCTGATCCAACAGGAGTAGAGGGTTGAGCACATCTCCCCTGTGCACCCAAATCTTGTTGTCTCACGGCAGTGACCACACATTGCCAGCTCAGTGTCTCAGCTCACTTCCTCTGCCAGGACTTCACTTAGCAAAGGGGATGCGGGCTTGCGCTACACCTGATGCAGGCTTCCTGGACCCCATGCTGGATGCTTTCTCCACTAGTCAATTAATGTGAGAACTGGTCTGTGCCCCCTTTTCTTCTCCACTTTCACAGAGGCTCTGCAATACCTCTATTCTGTGTATTGCTGAACTTGAAGAGTCACGCGGGGACTCATGAACAGAAAGAACTCTTACCATCAGTTCAGATGCTGTTCTTTATTGTATGAGGCAACTACATCTTTTGTTTATTTCTAATTCTTCCTTTGCACTCCAGAGAAATATTCCTCAGTTTCTTTGCTGTTTGGTGAAAATTCTTCTACAAGTCACTGCTCTGTGAAACAGGGTAGAGACGGAATGATCCTTAGACAGCAGCTGATGTATCCCACCAGCTCCTGCAGGGACTGAATTCCCAGCCAGCCCCAACTATCCAGCTGGAGGTGCCACTCGGGGGCACCAGCTAGTGTACAAATCTGGTGGGCATCCGATGACATTGACAAAGAACACCTGACTGGCATGAGAGCATCATATCCTCAAGCCCACTCTGCCACAAACCACTATTCTGCCACCATTTGTCACTCCCTGAGGACATCGAAGGGCCATGCAGCTCCCTGGAGCTGGGCTTCCCCTCCCTACAGGCGTGGGTGCTTTTGGCTACTGGTTTCTGATTGTCACTTGGGAGAAGTGGGTGCTTCTGGAAAGTAATTAACAGCCAGAATCAAAATGGGCACACCACAAAACTTGGCACGTTGCTTCTGGCAAATGCTCCCTACCCCTCTGGCTTACTTCAGGCCTAAACCTAGCTGATCATATCCTGCTAACAGGCTTTAGCTCTGGATGCTGTTGAGACTCTGCCAAGTACAATCTCTAGGATGTTTTAATTGGAGAAGAGAACAGTAATAAAAAGACCTTTGACCAAGCCCTGCAGATCAGGCTAATGGGAGGGAGGACCATGATGCTGTCTGGTCACCTCCCTTGCATTGTCCTTGTCAAAGGGAGTAGACTGGAGGGCTAAATCTGCTTGCCAGCTGTCTTTCCTGCCCAGCCTCACTGTGCATAGCAGAAGTGCACACTGACTACCCAAACTTCCCAGCACAGGAGCACAAAGCAGTTTGCTCACGCTCCCCTGGAGTACCTGTGGCAGTGTCATTCCTCAGGGGACTTGCTCTAATCCATCCAAAAATTTATTCTCATTCCTCCTGCCACAGCCCAGCCATGCCCAAGCATCCCCATTGCATGCAGCACAGGCTGCGCAGGTGGGACGTGGCTGCACGGGAGCCTGGCGTGCATCATCCTGGCCGCACTGACTGAAAGCGCGACGTCTCACCCGCTGCTGAGCCGCCACCGAGGGACCACGCGGGCGGCTCGCTGTCTTGGGGGCTGCAGAGGGGAAGTGCGAGGGGGGGGCTTGACTGGGACCTCAGTTTCACTTCCTGCCCTGTGTGGGGAGAGATCATTAAAAATATCTGACTAAGGCAGATTTCTTTGTTCTCGGTATTACTAAGTGCTCCCCCGCCCCCCCCCCCCCCCCCCCCCGTGATGGCAGCAGTGTGGGCAGAGCGATTTCACTTTCCCCTGCTTTGCAGACGGTCACAGCTGGCTGGGCAGGTGTATGGCATTGCTGGACCGCTCACCTTCTGGCTGCCCTGCTTTGCTGTGGCACAATCTATGTATCTGCTCTATGGCAGCTCTGTGTGCTTTTCCCCAGAGATCTCCGGGGGGACACCAAGCTGGGAACAATGGGTGATGCAGAGGGATGCTGGATCAGCACAGGGTGAGCACAAGGGCATGTTTGGAGCAGTGGGAGACTTGGGACCCTGCTTGCTGAGCTGCAGCATTGTGCTGTGTGGGGTCACAGAGTGGGAGACCATGATCTCAAGCTTGGCTGCCAACAAGTTCACTCAGCAATCTCCTCTTGGTGAATATGACTGCAATAAAAGATATGAACACCTCCCCTACAAGGACAGGCTGAGAGAGCTGGGACTGTTCAGCCCAGAGAAGAGAAGACTCTGAGAAGACCTGAAAGCAGCCTCTCAGTACCTAGCAGGGCTGTAAGGAGGGGGACAGACTCTTTAGCAGGGTCTGTTGTGATAGGATAAGGGGAAATGGTTTCAGATCAAAAGAGGGGAGATTTAGACTGGATATAAGAAAAATATTTTGCAATAGGAGTGGTGAGGCACTGGCACAGCTGATGGAGCTGTAGGTGTCCCTGTTTATTGCAGGAACCAGATGGGTTTTAGGGTTCCTTTCCAACCCAAACGATTCTATAATTCTATTAATTTAATATCCACCTCCACAACTGCTATATAGGTCTTTGTTACTTTTAATGGCCCAGTTGACTAATGTGCACAGTACTCTACAACTCTCTAACATGCCTTTTCTTGCAGCCTACTGCACATACAGACATTGCAGCTTAGAGGAACAGTGGTTTGTAATTTAATGCATCCTTTTTCACATGCATCAAGCCCTGTGGTGCAATTAGATGTACTCTTTTGCAAAGGCAGTAATTAATGCTTCTTCAGTAGCCTGGGAGTTGGGAACGGGACAGGGCATGTGAGGTGAGCTAAAGACAGGTTGCATTGGGCTGGATGGCTATCAGCAGCTCATCTCCTGAACAACAGCAGCCAAGAGAGCAGCACAGCAGGTCAGCTGGAAAGACTGTTTCTTCTTGTTTTTCCACCCCTGCCTTACCAAACCTTTTTATTGATTTCGCTGCAGATAGGGAACGAAACATTACACCTACATGGTCTCTCACGGAAGCCAATGTTTCATTCCATGTTTCCAAATTCCGCGCTCATCCAGACTCCTGTAGCAGAACAGCTTTCCTTGTGCATAATCTGCCCATCTCCAGGGCCATTCTTCCAGCTGTGTTGATGATTGCTGCAGAAATCTACCAGGAGTCAGATCAAATTTCAAAACAGGTTTGATCAACCTGAGACAAAATACCTGTGCACCACTAATGCTTTAAATCCCATACGTTTTGTTGTTACAGAATATTAGTGCTTTCTCCCTGTTGATGCAAGCAGGTGGCAGCCTGGCAGGTGATAACCTGCTGGTATTAATACCATGCTGCAGGTTAGTGGAGCTGCCTTATCTCTCCATCAACAACTTGACTGACGTTGGATAAGGCTATTGGGCTCTGCTTCTGAAAGTTTAGGAGAGATGGCATTCAACCAGGAGGCTTAGCTCTGCTTGCATATAGCAGTGAGGTCTTTGTTGTGCTTGGAATGGGAGTCCCAGAGCCCAGATCTAATGAGACCTATTCCCTCAGCCACACTGTTCGGGGTGAGGGCATGGGGACCCCATAAACCTCCTGTGTGGAGCCATGGTGCTTCCCTGGAAATTAGACCCAGAGAGCCCTTGAAGGCTGAGGATAGGCACCCCATGAATTCAGCAGCTCCTTCAAAGCAGAAGAGAATAGACAGTGTGCAAGGGAGCTTTTATTGTACAAAGTAGCCAGGTTAAAGATAGGTGGCTGTTTTCAAAGCTTGATTTAAAAGAATTGGCTTTTGGTGGGTTTTTTGTTG